CGTTTATATTTATATATGTTGCAATTTGTATATAATTTAACAAAGTTAATAATTAATGAATTGATAGAAAAAATAAAATAAATAAATAAAGTTAGGCTATTATCTCGAATAAATATTTAGTTTAATTTATAAGAAATGACTTTATTTATTCTAATTTTTATATAAATAAACGATTTATTAGACAAAATAAAGCTCTAAAAATATTTTTGACTTTTATAAATCAAAATAAATTTCTATGTTAAATATTATTTTATTTTTTTATTTATTTAAGTAAATGTGAATTTCTTATTTTACAATATTAAATATGTATATTGAAATTAATAATTTTATAGAAGATGCAAATTATATACAGTAATTAAAATACAAATATAATAAAGAAGAGAAATAAAATTCTTTAATATAGATCGAAATTCTAAAATTCATTCTGATAAATTATATAATTTTAAATTAAATATTCATCTGTGAAAGAAATTAACCCCTTGAGTTTAATCAATGTAAAGAGTTTGTCACAGCAGCATTTTCTTTTAAACTAAACAATTACTAAACAAGTGTGTAAAAGTAGAAAATTTAAGGATTACAATTAATTGATTAAACCAACAAGAATTTCTATTTAATTAATTTAAAATTCGCTTCTCGTATCATCTCTTATTACAGCTGTAAATTCGATCAAACGAATGTAAAAAAAAAGTAAGAATTTGATTGAATTTAATACTTTTCGTGTACATAAAANATTTTTATAATTAGGGTTTATAATTAGGATATTAAAAAAAAGAAGAGAGAAGATGTAAATCTACAATTCTTTATTGTATTTAAAGAGAGATTGACCGACGTCATTCACTCCCTCTTCATTGATTTCCAAGTTGTGTTGTCCATAACAGCCTGCTTTTTTCGTAAAATACCGGTTTCTCATCTAAAGAAAAGCGTTATTAGTGTCACGGAGGCGGAACTTTATGAACCAGTCATTAACAAGTTATTATTATTGAGGAAATAAAATGTGACAACTATTAAAAATATATATATTAAAAAAAGCACGAAAATCCTCAGAGATATTATTATCATAATTTATGTATTTATATATACAATCGCGCCTTGGCCTTGTCATCATTTAGTTATTAATCATTTGAATCCATTTGGATTTAATAAATTGTTTCGATTATGTAAGCAGTTTTATCCAATAAAACTGAATTTGTTTTGGTAAATTAAGTATATTTACTCATTGAAAATTAAATATACAATACGATTTTAACTCGAGGAAATGTCAAAGTTCGAGTAGAAGAATTTGAAGAAATGACGTTGAATGTGTTATTTATAAATTATATATTTGAATTATAGACTATTAATACAATTAATTTAAAAAAGATTATCGTAAAAATCAGTGTTATAAAAGAGTAGATACTGTAGTAGAATATATTTAAAAGAATCTTAGCCTATATACAGTATTTCGTTTCCATGGTAATACGATATATTGACTGAATTCCATTTATATAATTGTATAACAGGATAAAATTTTGTAATTGGAGAAGAAGAATATAAACCTATTTATTGAAAAATAAATATAAACTTTCTATTGTTGGGAAATATTTACAAGAAATTATTCATACCTTACTATGCAACAATCACGAATTAAAGGATAAAAATGTAGATAAATTATTACATAAATATATAATTAAAACAAGAAATTTGTGTTATATAAAGTATATGATTTGTTTTATCTCTTGTGAGATTTGTAATACTAAACTAACTACAAATAGGCCTATTAACAATAATCCTTCTTCTAAATTACTTTTTATTATTGTTAAAAAGTACACAAGAGTAACAATATTTACAATTTCATTAATAAAACACATTCAAATTACTTGTTTAAAATACTTATTTTCTAATTTGTATACCGTATAATACAGTAAAACCTGTCTAAAACGGAAACCCACGGTGCGAGTTACACAGGTTTTTAACTGTAATATCGAACAATAAATAAATAAACTAGTAATTTTATCACAATAGTCGAGCGTAACGACGTGTTGATATGATCCTTACGTTCGTTACATTCAATTTAATGAATCTTTATTATAGGATTAAATATTTCACAGTGTAAAATTATTAAAATTATAATTAAAACAGTGTCTAGGATGCAATATTATTTAAGTTTCAATAAGTAAAAGTAAGTAAAATAGGTTAAAATCGAAAGCATTTTTTCGTTGTTACAGACAGCATTTGTAACGTTTAATAATATACATTAAATACCGAATTAAATTGTTAAAAAAAATGACGATAAATTATACGTAGAAAGTGTTAACTTTATTACTAAATACTAAAATTATTTCTGTTGATTTTTTTTTCTATGAGAATATAAAATTTATGACGNTAAAACCATTAAGTTGAGTAATGGTGGCGTTGACAGCTTTTACAAACGATCGACTCCTCTTAGCGCCACCTGAAGTCTGAAAATGAATTTAATGTTTTATTTTAATAATAATAATAATAATAATATAAATAAAGAGAAAAGTAAGTATTGCCCTGTACTGTACATTCCATCAAAGAAAATAAAAGTGAGGAGGAAGATAAATAAATAACCGATAAATTAACATGTAAAGTAATTTGTAAACAAGAAGAATATTTTATAAAATGTTTTCGTGTATAATGTCATCAGTAAATTTCGTCTAGTTTTAATTAGACAGATTGATTACATACTTATCGTCAGCTTTGCAACTATTTATCATGTTCAAGTCAAGATTTATGATAAACTTTTCGCATTTATACGTTATTTCGGATTAAAAATGTTTGACATGAATACGATATCCTATATTTTACCATTTATAATATTTACAATACTTTTATTTGACGTCTCTCGCTAATATTTTATGGGTAATATTATATTTGAATTTCTGATTTTGAAAATATTATTGTTTTCCTTAATATTTTACTTGTATTAAACGATTAAATTGTATTACTTTCCTGGCTTTTTATACAGATGGAAAGTATGGCAATTGGTCAAAAAATTATCTCAATTTTTACATTGTTTTTTGAATTCAATGGACCTTGAAACATCAAGGAATGCAAAAAATATTCTGGCTTTTTTCTATATTTGTATGGATGTTTATGCGTGTTTGTGTGAAGGGCACGATTTTCTTCGATTACTTTGAAGCTCAGTAACTCCTGGTCTTTTGTAGAAAATTTGCAGAGAGGTTTGTGTATTAGGAAAATTAGTGCTATTAAATTTTGGAGGTTAGCGGTTAAAGGAGTGGGGAGAGAGAGACAGAGAAGTCGTGTATCATATCTCGAGTGGGGTCGGAATTGATAACAATTTTACTCGTTATTAACATTTACAATATTTTATAAAACTCATTCCTACTCTAAAAATTAAGCTTTTTGTCATTTTATAATAATTAATAATATAAAAGTTATTTTTAATAAAATCTCATAATAGACGGTACCATACACAATTTTTAACTTTATTGCCGGGAAAGTTATGCAACTCATTACCGGATTTGTTTTCTTTTTTATCATATCTGTCAGCATCCACAACGTTTTAAATAGTTTTAAAACTTTTTTTTTTTTGTTTTTAAATATTTTATAATTTTTATTTATTTTAAAGAACGTAATTATATAAGATATCATATAATAAAATTTATGTATTGCATGGCTTTAGTTATTTATGATACAAGTTGTAAATGTTGAAGTAATATATCAAGAGAACGTGATACGATCGAATTATTAATCCTTCTACAAATCTTGCAAAACAAATTCTATGAATTCTGTTCGAATAGATTTTAAAAGCGATTATAAATAATAAAAATAAACTTTGTTTAACATTTACTCGTGTATATTTATAATAATAATATTTTCATTTTTTTTTAAAATAATAATAATAATTATTATTATTATTATTTAAATGTCTATCTTATAATTTGCAATTATCAGGCGAAAGATAAAGTTTTATTTGTAATAAAAAAAATTATTTAAGAGATAAGAAAAAGTATTTGCTAATATTGATTAGATAACCTCATTATCTTTAATGATTATCAAAAATGTAATTAATTAGAATTTTATTTTTGGAGATATTTTTATAATTATTTCTTCGAAGTGTCAATAATTTAAAGATAATTCTATTGTATTAAAAATTAATAATAATTTATAAGAAATTGTTTACAGGTTAATCTAAAAATATTTTCGACGTAATTTTAGAAATTAAAATTATTTTCCTTAATTTTTAATGTAAAAATTCTTAGTTTATTTTTAATGTTAATCGATAAAGTTTAAGGTATTTAAATAAGTTTAAAATCTTTATTAGACATTATTTATATTATTTTATACTTTATTTGTTATATATTATATATGAAAGGTATTCATATATTATATTTTACAAGTATAGTTTATAGTTTTAATCGAATTAAAAATATATACAGTAATTATAATAAAAAAATATTTATGAAAATTACTCGAGGAAAGGTTAAAGGTTACGCATATTAAACTATTATAAATCAAACATTTAAAAGCTTGTAAGAAATTTAATATCACCGGCGTGACTTTGTGTAAATTTTTTATAGGATGATAAACATTACTATTATTATTACACTTATAAGGAATAATGCTTTATATATATATATATATTTTTATGCATTTATATAAATTTTAAAAGTGAATATAAAATCTTTATATAAAGATTTTTCTTAGAAATTTAAATATTTATAAGCTTATATTTGAATATAAAATAAAATAATATATACAAATGACGTTATAGAATTTTCATATACGTGACGTCCCTTTCTAGTTAATTGTAAATCTAAATATATGAAAAATAAAATTAATTAACTTATTATTATAATTAACTTAATTAAATAATGTTTATCAAATTTTTCTGATTGTAATAAAATTCGAATTTTACTTGACTTTATAAACATAATTAACGATTTTAAAACTTAGTTAAACTTAAAGTATTAATAACCTGTGAAAAATTAACATTAATTAAGAAAATTTTGATTTAGGGAATAATTTTTTTTCAGAGTTGCTTCAATTCTAGAGTAAATACGAAGAATTTTCAGACATTTGCTCGAACTCATCCTTCTGACGAACGTGTAAGTTATTTATTAAGTTATAATTATAAAAAAAAATCAATTGTTCGACTGCAATTTTCAAATTGCAAACCTATAGATTCTCATTGGTCCGTTTGTTTGTCTGTTCGTTCGTCCTTAAGCTCTTTAATTGAAGATTACTATACTTACTTTTTTTTAAACTGGAAATCTTTTAATTAAATTACTAATTGTAATATTTTTTTTGCAATTTTTTAGATAGTAAAATCTGTTGTAGCTCTATTAAAATACTATAAATGGACAAAATTTTCTATAATTTCGCAAAAACTTCGACCTTATCTAGTTGTAGCTGAAAATCTAGAAAAATTTGCAACTTTAAATAAGAATTTTACGCTTAATAGTAAAGTAATATTTGATGATTCTTATACTTGTTGTGAAGAAAACTTAACGTGTTGTGAAAATCAATTTATAAAGACTATAGAAGAGACTTATAAAACGACAAGAGGTAATTTTTTTTCATAATGAAACTTTTTCTTTAAAAACTAATTATCTATTTAATAGTTAATTTTATATAAATTATCTTATATTTATTTATTTTCTTTCTATAGTTTATACATTTTTAGGTACCAGCCGTCATTTAATATTATTTTTAGTTGCAATGCATATGAAAAGACTATTATGGAAAGGGGAATACGTAGTCATATACATTGATCTAGAAGTAGATGTTGATTCAACCGCTCATAAATATCTTTGGAGTATGCGATTTTTACAAATTTAAGATTAATTAATATTTATTATTTTAATTTATCATTTAAAATTTTATTTTAGAACATGTAGAAGGGCAAGACACAGCTCTAGTTGACGAAAAAGTTGCTCAAAGAATAATACAGTCACTTTTAGTAGTTAGAGCCACTTTACCAAATGGAAATGAATATTACGAATTTACAGATAAAGTCAGAGAATACAATTTAAAAAGTCCATTTTATCATTTAAGTCCTTTTAAGGAAAGACAGATGGTAAGATTTATATTGATTTAAATATTCAAAGTTAAAAAAAAAAATTGTGTGTGGCATTATCTGTTATTAGTATTATTAAAAATAGCTTTTATATTATTAAATATTGTAAAAAGGCTTGATTTTGAGGGTAGTGATGAGTTTTTAAAAAACATTATAAAAGCCGAAAACGAGTAAAATTTTCATTGTTTTTGACCGAACGTAAGATACGACACCTGATCTCTTCTATCTCTCATCCTCTGGAGTCCAGAGCCGGCCCTACCATAGGGCGAATGGAGCAGCCACTCCAGGCGCTAAGTCCTAGTGGGCGCCTCAGTGGTAGAGAAAATTAAAGGGTATAAATAAGGGGCAACCAAGGGGGGAGCCATAATAGGATCTCGCTCCATCCTAAAACTTGCCTCGGGCCGGCACTGCTCTGGACCAGTGGTTCTCAATCTTTTTTTGGCCATGCCCACCTAAGCATCTCTGAAAATCCTGATGCTCTCTGTGACATATCATTCTTATTATTCAAAACGTGAACTCCTGTTTACGTGAAGGAAGCGTAAAAGGCCATTAACTTGGTTTAAACAAGCTTCCAAAGAACATGGCATTTATGAACGAAAAAAAAAAAAATAAAATAAATGAACGAAAGGAAAGTTGAAGTACTAAGGAAAAAATCACTAAGAAATTGTTTAAAAAATAATAATAATGTAGTGATATGAAAAAAAGACTGAGAAGAAGATGGCGTGAAAAGAGGGAAATTAAAAAACATTATTCATTATATATTATTATTCATAAATTAGCTTAATTTATGAATAATAAGATATGAGAACAATTAGCGAGATTTCAAATTCATCATTCTCGAATTGTCCTCTTAAAAATCAAATTGCCCTTCTGGGAACCATGTATCTAGACCTTTAACCACCAATATTTAATATCGTCAATGCCTCTTGTATAGAAATTACCATGCCAAATTTCAAATTCTGTTTCTTATTCTTTTAAAAATATCATAACAGATGACGCCATCAAAATGTTAAATGTTGCCAGGAAAGTTAAGCAACTCGTTGCTGGATTATTATTATTATTATTATTTTTACTTTTTTGAGCCAGGAAAGTAAAAGAAATCTACACAACAAAGAATTAAATTTCTAAATAATTTAATAGAAATTATTTATTTTGAAAACAGCATGTTACTGTAGAAGCCGCGTATTTATATGATGCTGTCATGCTGTATGCCGAATCCTTAGCAAAAGTCTTAGAAGCTGAAGAAGATCCCAAAAATGGAACAAATATTATACAAAATATAATCAAGAAGAAAACTTATCAAAGTAATTTACAATTTGAGCAATTTGATTACATTCAAATTTCCCTCATTTTTTTTTAATTAAAAAGGCCTTTGTTTTGTAGGCATTACTGGTGTCTGGATGAGGATAGATGAAAATGGCGATGTTGAAAATAATTACACTGTTTTAGCAAGGCAAAATAGCCCTACTAAAGTACTTTCTGAAAAAGTAGATTTAATATACCAATACACAATGATGCCAGTTGGAAATTTTTATTACCAAGGAGACGAATTGGAACCGGTAATTAATTAATTTTAAAGTAACTTATCAGTTAATTAACAATTACATATATTATTTTATTTGCATAATTAATATTTCATAACAGAAGTTAAGGCTGGATAAGACGATAGATTGGATCGGTGGTGAACCTCCTTTAGACGAACCACCCTGTGGATATAATAACAACCTGTGTTCGACGCCTTCTGGTATGATGTTTCAGATAAAAAAAAAGGCTAAGAATTAAAGGAGTGATTTATAAAATTTATTTTTTTTTTATTTACAGATAAAAATAGGGAAATAATAGCGGGAGTATTGGGTAGCATTCTCTTATCAGTGTGTTTGATAACAGCTATAACCTACAGGTGGGTGGCCATTAGCACAGATTAATTACGGTATTCTATTTATTAATTTCTTTTAAATTGAATATAACCTTTGTCATTTGTCTTGTTGATTAATGAAAAAGATGTAGTACAGGTATTTGCAATTGTTTGTAAAATACGAGTATGTACTGTACTTAAGAAAACTGTTGCGTACTTTCTTGGATTATACGCTTGGCTAAGAACCAATTTAATGAGACTTTTATGATATTTTAAAATAAAATTTTCCCCTCTTTGTGATAAAAATAATCCATTACTCAAGGTCAGTTATCAGTTTATGTAAAACTCTACGAGGAAAAATTAATCAAACACCTTCGTAATATAGCCTACTATTAAAAATGCTTATCGTCCCAGCAACAACCTGTTTTGTTTTGACTTTAGAATTTTTTTTTTTTACTGATTATTCTCACGCGATATCAATAATACTCGAAAATGTCTATAAAAATTATTACATAAAATTTTTTATATTGTCTTTGTGGTAAATTACACTATACAATTGTAAAGAATAAGATTTATGCGATTTGAATGGGTTTTTTGCCTTCTTAGAATAATTTTATAATCATTAAAACATGAAAAATAGGAGACATATTCTTGTTATTTCGTTTGACCTTTCAACTTGTTCTTATATACAGTATATATATAGCCTATATATGACCTTCACATATTTTATTTTTCCATTAATTTGTCTGGCTGGTGAATTTAATTCCAGTGGCAATTAATGACTCAACTGCACAACTTAATTATATTTAATTCTCTGTCAAAGATATTTTATGAATTCTCAATTAATTTTTTTATTTTATAGTTCAATCAATTATACACCGTGTTATCGTTTTTATAAAACACCAATTAATTCTATTTTAAAACTAATTTTTTGAATAATAAAACTTTGATTATTGTAGAAAAACACTATAAAAGAATTAAAAATTTTACAGGGGAAAATAATTAAATATATTAATACATTTAATTAAATTATTTTAAAATTAAAATTAAAATATTAAGTAATAATAACTCTTTTAATAATAATAATAATAATGACAGCATTGACTTACTAATATATTTCAATTTTAAAATAAATTTAATATGAATCAAGTAAAACTTAATTCTATTTATATATTTGATTAGATAATAAATATATATAAATATATACCACGATAAGCACTCTTCATTGTTATTTTTATCGTCTTATATAATCAAAATGCATAAGGTTACATAATAATAGCATTACGACAATAATAATTGCTTTAAGATCATTTTAAATCAATTTAAAATTAATATCGTTGCTTCTATATGTAAACAAAACTATGTATGAAAGAATTTAGAACTTTAAATTCATTACAGGAATTGGAAATACGAACAAGAAATCGCTGGTCTTCTATGGCGGATAACATTCGACGATATGCATAGACAAACATCAAATGGTCTTCTCTCATCCAACAGCAGAGTAAAGTAGATCTTATTGACTTTTATACATAATTTGGCTTAATTCAAATTATAATATTTACGTTATTTAATAGTCTAGTTTAAGTCAGATGTCAGTAGAATCGAAAACAGCGGGACAAGTGTTTACTCAAATCGCTCTGTATCGAGGAATGTGGGTGGCAGTTAAACAATTTCATTATCATAGAAGGATTGCTGATTTATCTAGAGATACTAAGAAAGAAATGAAAATCGTGAGTACATTGTTCGTACAAAAGAAAAAAAAAAACGTGAATTACAAGGCGTGTTTTTTTAATTATTAATTTATTATTTGTTTATTTATGTAGTTAAGAGAATTACACCACGATAACATAAATCCTTTCATCGGTGCTTGTATTCAAGGTAACTGCATCTACATTGTGACAGAATACTGCATGAAGGGTAGTTTGCAGGTAACGCCAAAGTAGATAATGATGTCCTTTTCTAATTACGTAAGCTAGTTACAAGTTTATTCTACTTTTCAAAGAAGACAAGTCGAAATGGATTGGCACAGTGAATAGAGTGGCAATTTATTCAAGACTAGGTCATCCAATTATGTTGCATGTTATTTATTTATGTTATTTAAAAAAAAAAAAAAAAAAAAAACAATTTTCCCTGAATTTAAAAGAAAACTTTCGCTTTTCTAGATTAAATATTCTTTGGCCAATTTTATTACAAAAGAATAAGATTTGTAATTAGATAAAAAAAAATAGTTAAACGTAAGGTTAGAATTATTTGTTTATTTAAATGGATGAAAATCTTATTTACATATATAAATTTGGAATAAAGCCAAACTCTTGTTACAAATTGTAAATATGCTCAATCTGCATTTATGAGTCATGTCACCCTTATTCGTAAATATTTTTGAATTAATTTAGTGTGAGAATTATTTAAAATGAATAATGCGCATTTATTTATCTAGAATATTGAATAAATGAGAATTTATTATATATATATATATATATATATAGAGGCCTATATATTATCACATTTTTGCATTCTGATAGAAACAATTCGTATAATAAATTTCTATTTAAAGATACCAGCTGCCCAAGGTCAGCAATTATTTGACTGGGCCTACTCATCTCGCAATCTTTCCTGAATTGTTAAGGAAGTTAAAATAAGAAAAATCTCCTCGGGATATATTGCACAAAATCTATTTTTTTTTCTTTTTTTCTTTCTCTTCTTAAAATAAAAAATAATATACAATTATTTCGAAATTAGTTTTATTTTCCATTGATTTAATATTAATTAAAATCGAGACCTGATACGGAGATCTTAGCGGCCGGAAGTCCGATGCATGCTCTGCCTACGAAGTTCCGGTCTGGATCGGAAGCCACGTGCTTTTTTTAATTAAAAAATATTATTTAAAAAATGAAGCCCGGCATTGTAATAATGAATATTTTATTGTAAAATTAAAAAATTAAATTAATGCCTACAACACGATTTTGTCATAAATTCAGCGTGCATAAATGCGATTAAGTTTACATGTAAATTAAGTCCCGAATAATAAACAAAATACAATTTTACACGGAAAATTTCACATTAAAAAAAATTTGCGGTTCCATAAATTAGTCTGCAACATTTCGCAATGGTTTAAGCTTTTTTTAAAAAAAAAAAATGTGTCACGTTATTTATAATGTCAACAAATATTTTGGCAACTTCGGTTGTAAGCGCCTATCGTAAAAATATAATACTGTACTTTACAAAATCTGCCTAAAGATCGTTTAAGTAAATAAATTATTTAGACAGATTTTTTTAAAAATATTAATTAAATGATATAATAGGAAAAGAAGATCGTATAATTGGTGTCATGTGACCAATTACGACTTAATTATCTCATTGTCTCGTAATTGTCGTTCGTTAGCTAGATCGATACAAAAATAATTCAATTATTTACTGTTTGAAACAAATTTCAATAAATTAATTTCAATCGAATAATTAGATATATTTTAATTGCTTNTAATTGGTGTCATGTGACCAATTACGACTTAATTATCTCATTGTCTCGTAATTGTCGTTCGTTAGCTAGATCGATACAAAAATAATTCAATTATTTACTGTTTGAAACAAATTTCAATAAATTAATTCCAATCGAATAATTAGATATATTTTAATTGCTTTTTTCCTATTCAATTTAGTCTTTTAACATTGTACACTTTAAAACCATTAAGTTGAGTAATGGTGGCGTTGACAGCTTTTACAAACGATCGACTCCTCTTAGCGCCACCTGAAGTCTGAAAATGAATTTAATGTTTTATTTTAATAATAATAATAATAAATAAATAAATCAATAATTTAAAATTAAAATTAAGTTAAATAAATTATATAATATTGATAATTGTTTTTAAAATTATTTTTCTTTAAATTAATTTTGTTTTATTCAACAAGTTTAGGGAGTGGTAACGGGTCATGGTAATTTACAAAAGTTGTTCATTAATTATCTACTATATAAAAAAAAATTGAATATTATTATAAAATTACGAAATGACTTGTAAAATAGAAAAATAATCAAAAACAATTGCTTATAATTAAAATACATATAATGTGCCGTAATAATATCTAAACACGGCAAACAGCGCTAAACCCATAAAGCGCCAACGAAGGATCTTCTTCATAAATATTAAACAGAAGATCCTTGATTATTTGTAAATTATTAAATGTACTATTTTGCATTGCAAACGAAATTATTAATAGCAAATCAAGTTACTTTCAAGCAACTTAAAACCTCGAAATTACGTTTACTAAGTTATACTTTGAAGTCTTCGATTTAGCGCCATACCAATTTCGGAAGCGAACAAATAATGGCGTTAAATCGATTTATATTGATATAAACGTATCTAAGGTCGTTTAAATTAAAATACCAATATTTATAGGATATTCTAGAAAATGAAGACTTGAAACTGGATAAAATATTCATAGCATCGTTGGTGTCAGATTTTATTAAGGTGAGAGATTACACATTACATTAAATTTAAATATAAAGCAGTGTATATAATCTTGAAAAACCTGTTTTATTTCTTTAGGGAATGCTTTATCTTCATGATAGTGAGTTACGAGTGCACGGGAATTTAAAATCTTCAAATTGTTTGATAACAAGTAGATGGGTATTGCAAGTTTCGGATTTTGGTTTGCACGAATTACGTTCAAATGCCAATACTACTACAATTACAGATTATGAATATTATAGAAGTATATTTACGCTTTCTTTTGTAAGATTTTTAANATTTAATGTTTTATTTTAATAATAATAATAATAAATAAATAAATCAATAATTTAAAATTAAAATTAAGTTAAATAAATTATATAATATTGATAATTGTTTTTAAAATTATTTTTCTTTAAATTAATTTTGTTTTATTCAACAAGTTTAGGGAGTGGTAACGGGTCATGGTAATTTACAAAAGTTGTTCATTAATAATCTCTTATATATAAAAAAAAATTGAATATTATTATAAAATTACGAAATGACTTGTAAAATAGAAAAATAATCAAAAACAATTGCTTATAATTAAAATACATATAATGTGCCGTAATAATATCTAAACACGGCAAACAGCGCTAAACCCATAAAGCGCCAACGAAGGATCTTCTTCATAAATATTAAACAGAAGATCCTTGATTATTTGTAAATTATTAAATGTACTATTTTGCATTGCAAACGAAATTATTAATAGCAAATCAAGTTACTTTCAAGCAACTTAAAACCTCGAAATTACGTTTACTAAGTTATACTTTGAAGTCTTCGATTTAGCGCCATACCAATTTCGGAAGCGAACAAATAATGGCGTTAAATCGATTTATATTGATATAAACTTATCTAAGGTCGTTTAAATTAAAATGCCAATATTTATAGGATATTCTAGAAAATGAAGACTTGAAACTGGATAAAATATTCATAGCATCGTTGGTGTCAGATTTTATTAAGGTGAGAGATTACACATTACATTAAATTTAAATATAAAGCAGTGTATATAATCTTGAAAAACCTGTTTTATTTCTTTAGGGAATGCTTTATCTTCATGATAGTGAGTTACGAGTGCACGGGAATTTAAAATCTTCAAATTGTTTGATAACAAGTAGATGGGTATTGCAAGTTTCGGATTTTGGTTTGCACGAATTACGTTCAAATGCCAATACTACTACAATTACAGATTATGAATATTATAGAAGTATATTTACGCTTTCTTTCGTAAGATTTTTAAGCATTTTTATAATATAAATACATAAATTGAATATTTTTTTTTCTCTCAAGATCTCTTATGGAAAGCTCCTGAACTTCTTCGTCAGACATCTAATTTTCCAAAGATTAGTCAGAAGGGCGATGTGTATTCATTCGCTATTATCTTACACGAAATTATGCAAAGACAAGGACCATTTGGTAATATAATGCTGCCTCCTAAAGGTAATTGCAATTTGTTATCGAGTTTTACGTGACGTCCCTTTCTAGTTAATTGTAAATCTAAATATATGAAAAATAAAATTAATTAACTTATTATTATAATTAACTTAATTAAATAATGTTTATCAAATTTTTCTGATTGTAATAAAATTCGAATTTTACTTGACTTTATAAACATAATTAACGATTTTAAAACTTAGTTAAACTTAAAGTATTAATAACCTGTGAAAAATTAACATTAATTAAGAAAATTTTGATTTAGGGAATAATTTTTTTTCAGAGTTGCTTCAATTCTAGAGTAAATACGAAGAATTTTCAGACATTTGCTCGAACTCATCCTTCTGACGAACGTGTAAGTTATTTATTAAGTTATAATTATAAAAAAAAATCAATTGTTCGACTGCAATTTTCAAATTGCAAACCTATAGATTCTCATTGGTCCGTTTGTTTGTCTGTTCGTTCGTCCTTAAGCTCTTTAATTGAAGATTACTATACTTACTTTTTTTTAAACTGGAAATCTTTTAATTAAATTACTAATTGTAATATTTTTTTTGCAATTTTTTAGATAGTAAAATCTGTTGTAGCTCTATTAAAATACTATAAATGGACAAAATTTTCTATAATTTCGCAAAAACTTCGACCTTATCTAGTTGTAGCTGAAAATCTAGAAAAATTTGCAACTTTAAATAAGAATTTTACGCTTAATAGTAAAGTAATATTTGATGATTCTTATACTTGTTGTGAAGAAAACTTAACGTGTTGTGAAAATCAATTTATAAAGACTATAGAAGAGACTTATAAAACGACAAGAGGTAATTTTTTTTCATAATGAAACTTTTTCTTTAAAAACTAATTATCTATTTAATAGTTAATTTTATATAAATTATCTTATATTTATTTATTTTCTTTCTATAGTTTATACATTTTTAGGTACCAGCCGTCATTTAATATTATTTTTAGTTGCAATGCATATGAAAAGACTATTATGGAAAGGGGAATACGTAGTCATATACATTGATCTAGAAGTAGATGTTGATTCAACCGCTCATAAATATCTTTGGAGTATGCGATTTTTACAAATTTAAGATTAATTAATATTTATTATTTTAATTTATCATTTAAAATTTTATTTTAGAACATGTAGAAGGGCAAGACACAGCTCTAGTTGACGAAAAAGTTGCTCAAAGAATAATACAGTCACTTTTAGTAGTTAGAGCCACTTTACCAAATGGAAATGAATATTACGAATTTACAGATAAAGTCAGAGAATACAATTTAAAAAGTCCATTTTATCATTTAAGTCCTTTTAAGGAAAGACAGATGGTAAGATTTATATTGATTTAAATATTCAAAGTTAAAAAAAAAAATTGTGTGTGGCATTATCTGTTATTAGTATTATTAAAAATAGCTTTTATATTATTAAATATTGTAAAAAGGCTTGATTTTGAGGGTAGTGATGAGTTTTTAAAAAACATTATAAAAGCCGAAAACGAGTAAAATTTTCATTGTTTTTGACCGAACGTAAGATACGACACCTGATCTCTTCTATCTCTCATCCTCTGGAGTCCAGAGCCGGCCCTACCATAGGGCGAATGGAGCAGCCACTCCAGGCGCTAAGTCCTAGTGGGCGCCTCAGTGGTAGAGAAAATTAAAGGGTATAAATAAGGGGCAACCAAGGGGGGAGCCATAATAGGATCTCGCTCCATCCTAAAACTTGCCTCGGGCCGGCACTGCTCTGGACCAGTGGTTCTCAATCTTTTTTTGGCCATGCCCACCTAAGCATCTCTGAAAATCCTGATGCTCTCTGTGACATATCATTCTTATTATTCAAAACGTGAACTCCTGTTTACGTGAAGGAAGCGTAAAAGGCCATTAACTTGGTTTAAACAAGCTTCCAAAGAACATGGCATTTATGAACGAAAAAAAAAAAAATAAAATAAATGAACGAAAGGAAAGTTGAAGTACTAAGGAAAAAATCACTAAGAAATTGTTTAAAAAATAATAATAATGTAGTGATATGAAAAAAAGACTGAGAAGAAGATGGCGTGAAAAGAGGGAAATTAAAAAACATTATTCATTATATATTATTATTCATAAATTAGCTTAATTTATGAATAATAAGATATGAGAACAATTAGCGAGATTTCAAATTCATCATTCTCGAATTGTCCTCTTAAAAATCAAATTGCCCTTCTGGGAACCATGTATCTAGACCTTTAACCACCAATATTTAATATCGTCAATGCCTCTTGTATAGAAATTACCATGCCAAATTTCAAATTCTGTTTCTTATTCTTTTAAAAATATCATAACAGATGACGCCATCAAAATGTTAAATGTTGCCAGGAAAGTTAAGCAACTCGTTGCTGGATTATTATTATTATTATTATTTTTACTTTTTTGAGCCAGGAAAGTAAAAGAAATCTACACAACAAAGAATTAAATTTCTAAATAATTTAATAGAAATTATTTATTTTGAAAACAGCATGTTACTGTAGAAGCCGCGTATTTATATGATGCTGTCATGCTGTATGCCGAATCCTTAGCAAAAGTCTTAGAAGCTGAAGAAGATCCCAAAAATGGAACAAATATTATACAAAATATAATCAAGAAGAAAACTTATCAAAGTAATTTACAATTTGAGCAATTTGATTACATTCAAATTTCCCTCATTTTTTTTTAATTAAAAAGGCCTTTGTTTTGTAGGCATTACTGGTGTCTGGATGAGGATAGATGAAAATGGCGATGTTGAAAATAATTACACTGTTTTAGCAAGGCAAAATAGCCCTACTAAAGTACTTTCTGAAAAAGTAGATTTAATATACCAATACACAATGATGCCAGTTGGAAATTTTTATTACCAAGGAGACGAATTGGAACCGGTAATTAATTAATTTTAAAGTAACTTATCAGTTAATTAACAATTACATATATTATTTTATTTGCATAATTAATATTTCATAACAGAAGTTAAGGCTGGATAAGACGATAGATTGGATCGGTGGTGAACCTCCTTTAGACGAACCACCCTGTGGATATAATAACAACCTGTGTTCGACGCCTTCTGGTATGATGTTTCAGATAAAAAAAAAGGCTAAGAATTAAAGGAGTGATTTATAAAATTTATTTTTTTTTTATTTACAGATAAAAATAGGGAAATAATAGCGGGAGTATTGGGTAGCATTCTCTTATCAGTGTGTTTGATAACAGCTATAACCTACAGGTGGGTGGCCATTAGCACAGATTAATTACGGTATTCTATTTATTAATTTCTTTTAAATTGAATATAACCTTTGTCATTTGTCTTGTTGATTAATGAAAAAGATGTAGTACAGGTATTTGCAATTGTTTGTAAAATACGAGTATGTACTGTACTTAAGAAAACTGTTGCGTACTTTCTTGGATTATACGCTTGGCTAAGAACCAATTTAATGAGACTTTTATGATATTTTAAAATAAAATTTTCCCCTCTTTGTGATAAAAATAATCCATTACTCAAGGTCAGTTATCAGTTTATGTAAAACTCTACGAGGAAAAATTAATCAAACACCTTCGTAATATAGCCTACTATTAAAAATGCTTATCGTCCCAGCAACAACCTGTTTTGTTTTGACTTTAGAATTTTTTTTTTTACTGATTATTCTCACGCGATATCAATAATACTCGAAAATGTCTATAAAAATTATTACATAAAATTTTTTATATTGTCTTTGTGGTAAATTACACTATACAATTGTAAAGAATAAGATTTATGCGATTTGAATGGGTTTTTTGCCTTCTTAGAATAATTTTATAATCATTAAAACATGAAAAATAGGAGACATATTCTTGTTATTTCGTTTGACCTTTCAACTTGTTCTTATATACAGTATATATATAGCCTATATATGACCTTCACATATTTTATTTTTCCATTAATTTGTCTGGCTGGTGAATTTAATTCCAGTGGCAATTAATGACTCAACTGCACAACTTAATTATATTTAATTCTCTGTCAAAGATATTTTATGAATTCTCAATTAATTTTTTTATTTTATAGTTCAATCAATTATACACCGTGTTATCGTTTTTATAAAACACCAATTAATTCTATTTTAAAACTAATTTTTTGAATAATAAAACTTTGATTATTGTAGAAAAACACTATAAAAGAATTAAAAATTTTACAGGGGAAAATAATTAAATATATTAATACATTTAATTAAATTATTTTAAAATTAAAATTAAAATATTAAGTAATAATAACTCTTTTAATAATAATAATAATAATGACAGCATTGACTTACTAATATATTTCAATTTTAAAATAAATTTAATATGAATCAAGTAAAACTTAATTCTATTTATATATTTGATTAGATAATAAATATATATAAATATATACCACGATAAGCACTCTTCATTGTTATTTTTATCGTCTTATATAATCAAAATGCATAAGGTTACATAATAATAGCATTACGACAATAATAATTGCTTTAAGATCATTTTAAATCAATTTAAAATTAATATCGTTGCTTCTATATGTAAACAAAACTATGTATGAAAGAATTTAGAACTTTAAATTCATTACAGGAATTGGAAATACGAACAAGAAATCGCTGGTCTTCTATGGCGGATAACATTCGACGATATGCATAGACAAACATCAAATGGTCTTCTCTCATCCAACAGCAGAGTAAAGTAGATCTTATTGACTTTTATACATAATTTGGCTTAATTCAAATTATAATATTTACGTTATTTAATAGTCTAGTTTAAGTCAGATGTCAGTAGAATCGAAAACAGCGGGACAAGTGTTTACTCAAATCGCTCTGTATCGAGGAATGTGGGTGGCAGTTAAACAATTTCATTATCATAGAAGGATTGCTGATTTATCTAGAGATACTAAGAAAGAAATGAAAATCGTGAGTACATTGTTCGTACAAAAGAAAAAAAAAAACGTGAATTACAAGGCGTGTTTTTTTAATTATTAATTTATTATTTGTTTATTTATGTAGTTAAGAGAATTACACCACGATAACATAAATCCTTTCATCGGTGCTTGTATTCAAGGTAACTGCATCTACATTGTGACAGAATACTGCATGAAGGGTAGTTTGCAGGTAACGCCAAAGTAGATAATGATGTCCTTTTCTAATTACGTAAGCTAGTTACAAGTTTATTCTACTTTTCAAAGAAGACAAGTCGAAATGGATTGGCACAGTGAATAGAGTGGCAATTTATTCAAGACTAGGTCATCCAATTATGTTGCATGTTATTTATTTATGTTATTTAAAAAAAAAAAAAAAAAAAAAACAATTTTCCCTGAATTTAAAAGAAAACTTTCGCTTTTCTAGATTAAATATTCTTTGGCCAATTTTATTACAAAAGAATAAGATTTGTAATTAGATAAAAAAAAATAGTTAAACGTAAGGTTAGAATTATTTGTTTATTTAAATGGATGAAAATCTTATTTACATATATAAATTTGGAATAAAGCCAAACTCTTGTTACAAATTGTAAATATGCTCAATCTGCATTTATGAGTCATGTCACCCTTATTCGTAAATATTTTTGAATTAATTTAGTGTGAGAATTATTTAAAATGAATAATGCGCATTTATTTATCTAGAATATTGAATAAATGAGAATTTATTATATATATATATATATATATATAGAGGCCTATATATTATCACATTTTTGCATTCTGATAGAAACAATTCGTATAATAAATTTCTATTTAAAGATACCAGCTGCCCAAGGTCAGCAATTATTTGACTGGGCCTACTCATCTCGCAATCTTTCCTGAATTGTTAGGGAAGTTAAAATAAGAAAAATCACCTCAGGATATATTGCACAAAATCTAATATTTTTTCTCTCTCTCTCTCTCTTTCTCTTCTTAAAATAAAATAAAAAAAATAATATACAATTATTTCGAAATTACTTTTATTTTTCTCGTTAATATATTTTCCAATGATTTAATATTAATGAAAATCGAGACCTGATACGGAGATCTTAGCGGCCGGAAGTCCGATGCATGCTCTGCCTACGAAGTTCCGGTCTGGATCGGAAGCCACGTGCTTTTTTTAATTAAAAAATATTATTTAAAAAATGAAGCCCGGCATTGTAATAATGAATATTTTATTGTAAAATTAAAAAATTAAATTAATGCCTACAACACGATTTTGTCATAAATTCAGCGTGCATAAATGCGATTAAGTTTACATGTAAATTAAGTCCCGAATAATAAACAAAATACAATTTTACACGGAAAATTTCACATTAAAAAAAATTTGCGGTTCCATAAATTAGTCTGCAACATTTCGCAATGGTTTAAGCTTTTTTTTAAAAAAAAAAAAAATGTGTCACGTTATTTATAATGTCAACAAATATTTTGGCAACTTCGGTTGTAAGCGCCTGTCGTAAAAATATAATACTGTACTTTACAAAATCTGCCTAAAGATCGTTTAAGTAAATAAATTATTTAGACAGATTTTTTTAAAAATATTAATTAAATGATATAATAGGAAAAGAAGATCGTATAATTGGTGTCATGTGACCAATTACGACTTAATTATCTCATTGTCTCGTAATTGTCGTTCGTTAGCTAGATCGATACAAAAATAATTCAATTATTTACTGTTTGAAACAAATTTCAATAAATTAATTCCAATCGAATAATTAGATATATTTTAATTGCTTTTTTCCTATTCAATTTAGTCTTTTAACATTGTACACTTTAAAACCATTAAGTTGAGTAATGGTGGCGTTGACAGCTTTTACAAACGATCGACTCCTCTTAGCGCCACCTGAAGTCTGAAAATGAATTTAATGTTTTATTTTAATAATAATAATAATAAATAAATAAATCAATAATTTAAAATTAAAATTAAGTTAAATAAATTATATAATATTGATAATTGTTTTTAAAATTATTTTTCTTTAAATTAATTTTGTTTTATTCAACAAGTTTAGGGAGTGGTAACGGGTCATGGTAATTTACAAAAGTTGTTCATTAATTATCTACTATATAAAAAAAAATTGAATATTATTATAAAATTACGAAATGACTTGTAAAATAGAAAAATAATCAAAAACAATTGCTTATAATTAAAATACATATAATGTGCCGTAATAATATCTAAACACGGCAAACAGCGCTAAACCCATAAAGCGCCAACGAAGGATCTTCTTCATAAATATTAAACAGAAGATCCTTGATTATTTGTAAATTATTAAATGTACTATTTTGCATTGCAAACGAAATTATTAATAGCAAATCAAGTTACTTTCAAGCAACTTAAAACCTCGAAATTACGTTTACTAAGTTATACTTTGAAGTCTTCGATTTAGCGCCATACCAATTTCGGAAGCGAACAAATAATGGCGTTAAATCGATTTATATTGATATAAACGTATCTAAGGTCGTTTAAATTAAAATACCAATATTTATAGGATATTCTAGAAAATGAAGACTTGAAACTGGATAAAATATTCATAGCATCGTTGGTGTCAGATTTTATTAAGGTGAGAGATTACACATTACATTAAATTTAAATATAAAGCAGTGTATATAATCTTGAAAAACCTGTTTTATTTCTTTAGGGAATGCTTTATCTTCATGATAGTGAGTTACGAGTGCACGGGAATTTAAAATCTTCAAATTGTTTGATAACAAGTAGATGGGTATTGCAAGTTTCGGATTTTGGTTTGCACGAATTACGTTCAAATGCCAATACTACTACAATTACAGATTATGAATATTATAGAAGTATATTTACGCTTTCTTTCGTAAGATTTTTAAGCATTTTTATAATATAAATACATAAATTGAATATTTTTTTTTCTCTCAAGATCTCTTATGGAAAGCTCCTGAACTTCTTCGTCAGACATCTAATTTTCCAAAGATTAGTCAGAAGGGCGATGTGTATTCATTCGCTATTATCTTACACGAAATTATGCAAAGACAAGGACCATTTGGTAATATAATGCTGCCTCCTAAAGGTAATTGCAATTTGTTATCGAGTGTATGATAAAGAGCTTTGTGGCTCACCAAACCATAATTACGGTAGACCCCCCCTATAACACTGTTGATAATTCCGTTTTATATGAATTCCGTGTTGTACGAGTCACTTAGATTTTACAAATACGTGTGCCGGGCTGTGAACGGCACACGTATTTGTAAAATCTAAGTGACTTGTATAACACGGAATTCATATAAAACAGAATAATCAACAGTGTTATAGGGGGATCGATTGTATAGTAATTTAATTTAATGTAAGCTTTTGTATTTTTTTTTTATTTTTAGATATTGTATTAAAAGTTATGAATGGACCTTCAGAGACAGGAGAAATCTTTCGTCCATCATTAGAAGAACTCGATTGCCAAGATTATATTATCAATACGATAAAAGATTGTTGGGCAGAAAAAGCCGAAAATAGACCCGATTTTAGACAAATTCGGGAAAAATTAAAAGCAATGCGTCAAGGAATGTAGGTAACAAAATCTTTTTCGCGATTAAAACGAATTTTTCAAGAAATATTTTCTGATAAATTTCTCAAATATTTTAAAATATAAACAACGTCAGAATGTGTTTAACTCGTCTCATAAACTTTTCTTGAATACTTGAAATACTTTCGAATTAAATTTTTATAGGAAGACCAATATAGTAGACAATATGATGGAAATGATGGAGAAATATGCGAATAATCTAGAAGAATTAGTAGATGAAAGGACAAGCCAGCTACAGGAAGAACAGAAGAAAACAGAAGCTTTGCTATATCGCATGTTACCTAAGTATTAAATAATTTATTGATATTTAAATAAATAATATAAATTCTTTCCAATAATAATAATAATAATATAATTTAAAATTTTACAGATCAGTTGCTGCTCAATTAATAAAAGGGGAAGTAGTTCGTCCCGAATCTTTTGATGCTGTAACTATATATTTTAGTGATATTGTTGGCTTTACTGAGATGTCAGCTGATAGTACGCCTATGGAAGTATGGAAAATTTAAATAAAATATTGTATATATTTATTTTAAAGGTTACTATATAAGAATATGCTTTTAGGTGGTGACATTTTTGAATGATTTATACACAATATTTGATGATATAATTAGTCATTACAACGTTTACAAAGTCGAAACAATAGGAGATGCTTATATGGTTGTAAGTGGATTACCTCTTCGAAATGATGATCTTCACGCTTCTGAGATAGCTTCTATGGCCCTTGAACTTCTAGAAACAGTGAAAACTTTTAAAATAAGGCATAGACCAAATCATCTTTTAAAATTAAGAATTGGCATACATACAGGTAAATGGCATCATTGAGTAGATTTAGTCGATCAAAGTTATCACGATAACCAATGCAGTTATATTGTAATAAATCTAACTATTAGTTTTGTATTTTTCATTCTTAAAATTTAAATATATATATATATATATATATTATAGGTCCAGTTGTAGCTGGAGTTGTTGGATTAACTATGCCCAGGTATTGTCTTTTTGGTGATACAGTTAATACAGCTTCTAGAATGGAATCTAATGGAGAAGGTAAAACTGTTATTTTTAATATCAAATGTAAATAGGCTTTAGTAATTTAGATGCTAGATTAATTTCTTACGAAATTTCAGCATTGAAAATACACATTAGCTTACAGTGCAGAGATTACTTACAGAAACTCGGTGGGTATATAATAGAGGAAAGAGGAATAATTAAGATGAAGGTAAATTTATTTGTATGAAAATTACATTCACTTCGTTAACACGAAACTGAAAATAACGTGAATTTTAAAATTTTATAGGGAAAAGGTGAAGTGAAAACTTTTTGGCTATTAGGCCAGTGCAATCCAAGAGCGCACAGAACATTACCTCATGATCAAATATTACCTCAACCACTTTTCAGTGCTGTTAGAGACTCGGAAATAAGGAGGAGAAGTCCAAAATTAGATCATCCTCGTAGAGGATCGTTAGCGGTGCGTAACGACGCGTGTCATTTAGAAGATGTAGTTGCAGCAATGTCTCACGGATCAATTCCATCTTATTTGAGGAATTGTGGTCAAGATAGTCCCTATAATGGTAGGACATTAAATACACAAAATTGTCACGACAATAAAGTTCAAAACGTAGAAGAAAGAACGGAAGAAGCGATGACAGAGATAATACCAATCACCTCAAACGGCACAACTCCACATTTAGAAGATGGTGCCACCATAATACCTTTATTATCTGCAGAAGAAACGATAAACGAAAAGAAACATTTAAAGATGCACAATAAATATTGGAGATCGTTAGACGAACTGCACAAAAGTAAACCTAATATTGTCACATGGTTTGCTGGACTATTTAGCCAGAAAGGACCATATATAGAAACTCACAGATTGAATCATCAAACAGAAAGTGCCATTTAATACAGGATATATTATTTTGTATTTCTTCTTATTGAACCTTTTAACATTATGAGGACAAAATAATTTCCATTGTTAACTGTTATTTTCACGTAAGTGACTGTAATTCATTTTCATGTATCAACAACATTCATCTTACACAATTTACACAAATGAACGTTTTACATATCTTTTTAATCAAGCTGCAAATAATCCTTGAAATGCAAGCTTGCAATGTATTCTACAATGCAAGTTACAATGTATGCTGCAATTTAAATTTGCAAATAATCTCAAGCCTAACATTATGTATTNCAGAGCCGGCCCTACCATAGGGCGAATGGAGCAGCCACTCCAGGCGCTAAGTCCTAGTGGGCGCCTCAGTGGTAGAGAAAATTAAAGGGTATAAATAAGGGGCAACCAAGGGGGGAGCCATAATAGGATCTCGCTCCATCCTAAAACTTGCCTCGGGCCGGCACTGCTCTGGACCAGTGGTTCTCAATCTTTTTTTGGCCATGCCCACCTAAGCATCTCTGAAAATCCTGATGCTCTCTGTGACATATCATTCTTATTATTCAAAACGTGAACTCCTGTTTACGTGAAGGAAGCGTAAAAGGCCATTAACTTGGTTTAAACAAGCTTCCAAAGAACATGGCATTTATGAACGAAAAAAAAAAAAATAAAATAAATGAACGAAAGGAAAGTTGAAGTACTAAGGAAAAAATCACTAAGAAATTGTTTAAAAAATAATAATAATGTAGTGATATGAAAAAAAGACTGAGAAGAAGATGGCGTGAAAAGAGGGAAATTAAAAAACATTATTCATTATATATTATTATTCATAAATTAGCTTAATTTATGAATAATAAGATATGAGAACAATTAGCGAGATTTCAAATTCATCATTCTCGAATTGTCCTCTTAAAAATCAAATTGCCCTTCTGGGAACCATGTATCTAGACCTTTAACCACCAATATTTAATATCGTCAATGCCTCTTGTATAGAAATTACCATGCCAAATTTCAAATTCTGTTTCTTATTCTTTTAAAAATATCATAACAGATGACGCCATCAAAATGTTAAATGTTGCCAGGAAAGTTAAGCAACTCGTTGCTGGATTATTATTATTATTATTATTTTTACTTTTTTGAGCCAGGAAAGTAAAAGAAATCTACACAACAAAGAATTAAATTTCTAAATAATTTAATAGAAATTATTTATTTTGAAAACAGCATGTTACTGTAGAAGCCGCGTATTTATATGATGCTGTCATGCTGTATGCCGAATCCTTAGCAAAAGTCTTAGAAGCTGAAGAAGATCCCAAAAATGGAACAAATATTATACAAAATATAATCAAGAAGAAAACTTATCAAAGTAATTTACAATTTGAGCAATTTGATTACATTCAAATTTCCCTCATTTTTTTTTAATTAAAAAGGCCTTTGTTTTGTAGGCATTACTGGTGTCTGGATGAGGATAGATGAAAATGGCGATGTTGAAAATAATTACACTGTTTTAGCAAGGCAAAATAGCCCTACTAAAGTACTTTCTGAAAAAGTAGATTTAATATACCAATACACAATGATGCCAGTTGGAAATTTTTATTACCAAGGAGACGAATTGGAACCGGTAATTAATTAATTTTAAAGTAACTTATCAGTTAATTAACAATTACATATATTATTTTATTTGCATAATTAATATTTCATAACAGAAGTTAAGGCTGGATAAGACGATAGATTGGATCGGTGGTGAACCTCCTTTAGACGAACCACCCTGTGGATATAATAACAACCTGTGTTCGACGCCTTCTGGTATGATGTTTCAGATAAAAAAAAAAGGCTAAGAATTAAAGGAGTGATTTATAAAATTTATTTTTTTTTTATTTACAGATAAAAATAGGGAAATAATAGCGGGAGTATTGGGTAGCATTCTCTTATCAGTGTGTTTGATAACAGCTATAACCTACAGGTGGGTGGCCATTAGCACAGATTAATTACGGTATTCTATTTATTAATTTCTTTTAAATTGAATATAACCTTTGTCATTTGTCTTGTTGATTAATGAAAAAGATGTAGTACAGGTATTTGCAATTGTTTGTAAAATACGAGTATGTACTGTACTTAAGAAAACTGTTGCGTACTTTCTTGGATTATACGCTTGGCTAAGAACCAATTTAATGAGACTTTTATGATATTTTAAAATAAAATTTTCCCCTCTTTGTGATAAAAATAATCCATTACTCAAGGTCAGTTATCAGTTTATGTAAAACTCTACGAGGAAAAATTAATCAAACACCTTCGTAATATAGCCTACTATTAAAAATGCTTATCGTCCCAGCAACAACCTGTTTTGTTTTGACTTTAGAATTTTTTTTTTTACTGATTATTCTCACGCGATATCAATAATACTCGAAAATGTCTATAAAAATTATTACATAAAATTTTTTATATTGTCTTTGTGGTAAATTACACTATACAATTGTAAAGAATAAGATTTATGCGATTTGAATGGGTTTTTTGCCTTCTTAGAATAATTTTATAATCATTAAAACATGAAAAATAGGAGACATATTCTTGTTATTTCGTTTGACCTTTCAACTTGTTCTTATATACAGTATATATATAGCCTATATATGACCTTCACATATTTTATTTTTCCATTAATTTGTCTGGCTGGTGAATTTAATTCCAGTGGCAATTAATGACTCAACTGCACAACTTAATTATATTTAATTCTCTGTCAAAGATATTTTATGAATTCTCAATTAATTTTTTTATTTTATAGTTCAATCAATTATACACCGTGTTATCGTTTTTATAAAACACCAATTAATTCTATTTTAAAACTAATTTTTTGAATAATAAAACTTTGATTATTGTAGAAAAACACTATAAAAGAATTAAAAATTTTACAGGGGAAAATAATTAAATATATTAATACATTTAATTAAATTATTTTAAAATTAAAATTAAAATATTAAGTAATAATAACTCTTTTAATAATAATAATAATAATGACAGCATTGACTTACTAATATATTTCAATTTTAAAATAAATTTAATATGAATCAAGTAAAACTTAATTCTATTTATATATTTGATTAGATAATAAATATATATAAATATATACCACGATAAGCACTCTTCATTGTTATTTTTATCGTCTTATATAATCAAAATGCATAAGGTTACATAATAATAGCATTACGACAATAATAATTGCTTTAAGATCATTTTAAATCAATTTAAAATTAATATCGTTGCTTCTATATGTAAACAAAACTATGTATGAAAGAATTTAGAACTTTAAATTCATTACAGGAATTGGAAATACGAACAAGAAATCGCTGGTCTTCTATGGCGGATAACATTCGACGATATGCATAGACAAACATCAAATGGTCTTCTCTCATCCAACAGCAGAGTAAAGTAGATCTTATTGACTTTTATACATAATTTGGCTTAATTCAAATTATAATATTTACGTTATTTAATAGTCTAGTTTAAGTCAGATGTCAGTAGAATCGAAAACAGCGGGACAAGTGTTTACTCAAATCGCTCTGTATCGAGGAATGTGGGTGGCAGTTAAACAATTTCATTATCATAGAAGGATTGCTGATTTATCTAGAGATACTAAGAAAGAAATGAAAATCGTGAGTACATTGTTCGTACAAAAGAAAAAAAAAAACGTGAATTACAAGGCGTGTTTTTTTAATTATTAATTTATTATTTGTTTATTTATGTAGTTAAGAGAATTACACCACGATAACATAAATCCTTTCATCGGTGCTTGTATTCAAGGTAACTGCATCTACATTGTGACAGAATACTGCATGAAGGGTAGTTTGCAGGTAACGCCAAAGTAGATAATGATGTCCTTTTCTAATTACGTAAGCTAGTTACAAGTTTATTCTACTTTTCAAAGAAGACAAGTCGAAATGGATTGGCACAGTGAATAGAGTGGCAATTTATTCAAGACTAGGTCATCCAATTATGTTGCATGTTATTTATTTATGTTATTTAAAAAAAAAAAAAAAAAAAAAACAATTTTCCCTGAATTTAAAAGAAAACTTTCGCTTTTCTAGATTAAATATTCTTTGGCCAATTTTATTACAAAAGAATAAGATTTGTAATTAGATAAAAAAAAATAGTTAAACGTAAGGTTAGAATTATTTGTTTATTTAAATGGATGAAAATCTTATTTACATATATAAATTTGGAATAAAGCCAAACTCTTGTTACAAATTGTAAATATGCTCAATCTGCATTTATGAGTCATGTCACCCTTATTCGTAAATATTTTTGAATTAATTTAGTGTGAGAATTATTTAAAATGAATAATGCGCATTTATTTATCTAGAATATTGAATAAATGAGAATTTATTATATATATATATATATATATATAGAGGCCTATATATTATCACATTTTTGCATTCTGATAGAAACAATTCGTATAATAAATTTCTATTTAAAGATACCAGCTGCCCAAGGTCAGCAATTATTTGACTGGGCCTACTCATCTCGCAATCTTTCCTGAATTGTTAGGGAAGTTAAAATAAGAAAAATCACCTCAGGATATATTGCACAAAATCTAATATTTTTTCTCTCTCTCTCTCTCTTTCTCTTCTTAAAATAAAATAAAAAAAATAATATACAATTATTTCGAAATTACTTTTATTTTTCTCGTTAATATATTTTCCAATGATTTAATATTAATGAAAATCGAGACCTGATACGGAGATCTTAGCGGCCGGAAGTCCGATGCATGCTCTGCCTACGAAGTTCCGGTCTGGATCGGAAGCCACGTGCTTTTTTTAATTAAAAAATATTATTTAAAAAATGAAGCCCGGCATTGTAATAATGAATATTTTATTGTAAAATTAAAAAATTAAATTAATGCCTACAACACGATTTTGTCATAAATTCAGCGTGCATAAATGCGATTAAGTTTACATGTAAATTAAGTCCCGAATAATAAACAAAATACAATTTTACACGGAAAATTTCACATTAAAAAAAATTTGCGGTTCCATAAATTAGTCTGCAACATTTCGCAATGGTTTAAGCTTTTTTTTAAAAAAAAAAAAAATGTATCACGTTATTTATAATGTCAACAAATATTTTGGCAACTTCGGTTGTAAGCGCCTGTCGTAAAAATATAATACTGTACTTTACAAAATCTGCCTAAAGATCGTTTAAGTAAATAAATTATTTAGACAGATTTTTTTAAAAATATTAATTAAATGATATAATAGGAAAAGAAGATCGTATAATTGGTGTCATGTGACCAATTACGACTTAATTATCTCATTGTCTCGTAATTGTCGTTCGTTAGCTAGATCGATACAAAAATAATTCAATTATTTACTGTTTGAAACAAATTTCAATAAATTAATTCCAATCGAATAATTAGATATATTTTAATTGCTTTTTTCCTATTCAATTTAGTCTTTTAACATTGTACACTTTAAAACCATTAAGTTGAGTAATGGTGGCGTTGACAGCTTTTACAAACGATCGACTCCTCTTAGCGCCACCTGAAGTCTGAAAATGAATTTAATGTTTTATTTTAATAATAATAATAATAAATAAATAAATCAATAATTTAAAATTAAAATTAAGTTAAATAAATTATATAATATTGATAATTGTTTTTAAAATTATTTTTCTTTAAATTAATTTTGTTTTATTCAACAAGTTTAGGGAGTGGTAACGGGTCATGGTAATTTACAAAAGTTGTTCATTAATTATCTACTATATAAAAAAAAATTGAATATTATTATAAAATTACGAAATGACTTGTAAAATAGAAAAATAATCAAAAACAATTGCTTATAATTAAAATACATATAATGTGCCGTAATAATATCTAAACACGGCAAACAGCGCTAAACCCATAAAGCGCCAACGAAGGATCTTCTTCATAAATATTAAACAGAAGATCCTTGATTATTTGTAAATTATTAAATGTACTATTTTGCATTGCAAACGAAATTATTAATAGCAAATCAAGTTACTTTCAAGCAACTTAAAACCTCGAAATTACGTTTACTAAGTTATACTTTGAAGTCTTCGATTTAGCGCCATACCAATTTCGGAAGCGAACAAATAATGGCGTTAAATCGATTTATATTGATATAAACGTATCTAAGGTCGTTTAAATTAAAATACCAATATTTATAGGATATTCTAGAAAATGAAGACTTGAAACTGGATAAAATATTCATAGCATCGTTGGTGTCAGATTTTATTAAGGTGAGAGATTACACATTACATTAAATTTAAATATAAAGCAGTGTATATAATCTTGAAAAACCTGTTTTATTTCTTTAGGGAATGCTTTATCTTCATGATAGTGAGTTACGAGTGCACGGGAATTTAAAATCTTCAAATTGTTTGATAACAAGTAGATGGGTATTGCAAGTTTCGGATTTTGGTTTGCACGAATTACGTTCAAATGCCAATACTACTACAATTACAGATTATGAATATTATAGAAGTATATTTACGCTTTCTTTCGTAAGATTTTTAAGCATTTTTATAATATAAATACATAAATTGAATATTTTTTTTTCTCTCAAGATCTCTTATGGAAAGCTCCTGAACTTCTTCGTCAGACATCTAATTTTCCAAAGATTAGTCAGAAGGGCGATGTGTATTCATTCGCTATTATCTTACACGAAATTATGCAAAGACAAGGACCATTTGGTAATATAATGCTGCCTCCTAAAGGTAATTGCAATTTGTTATCGAGTGTATGATAAAGAGCTTTGTGGCTCACCAAACCATAATTACGGTAGACCCCCCCTATAACACTGTTGATAATTCCGTTTTATATGAATTCCGTGTTGTACGAGTCACTTAGATTTTACAAATACGTGTGCCGGGCTGTGAACGGCACACGTATTTGTAAAATCTAAGTGACTTGTATAACACGGAATTCATATAAAACAGAATAATCAACAGTGTTATAGGGGGATCGATTGTATAGTAATTTAATTTAATGTAAGCTTTTGTATTTTTTTTTTATTTTTAGATATTGTATTAAAAGTTATGAATGGACCTTCAGAGACAGGAGAAATCTTTCGTCCATCATTAGAAGAACTCGATTGCCAAGATTATATTATCAATACGATAAAAGATTGTTGGGCAGAAAAAGCCGAAAATAGACCCGATTTTAGACAAATTCGGGAAAAATTAAAAGCAATGCGTCAAGGAATGTAGGTAACAAAATCTTTTTCGCGATTAAAACGAATTTTTCAAGAAATATTTTCTGATAAATTTCTCAAATATTTTAAAATATAAACAACGTCAGAATGTGTTTAACTCGTCTCATAAACTTTTCTTGAATACTTGAAATACTTTCGAATTAAATTTTTATAGGAAGACCAATATAGTAGACAATATGATGGAAATGATGGAGAAATATGCGAATAATCTAGAAGAATTAGTAGATGAAAGGACAAGCCAGCTACAGGAAGAACAGAAGAAAACAGAAGCTTTGCTATATCGCATGTTACCTAAGTATTAAATAATTTATTGATATTTAAATAAATAATATAAATTCTTTCCAATAATAATAATAATAATATAATTTAAAATTTTACAGATCAGTTGCTGCTCAATTAATAAAAGGGGAAGTAGTTCGTCCCGAATCTTTTGATGCTGTAACTATATATTTTAGTGATATTGTTGGCTTTACTGAGATGTCAGCTGATAGTACGCCTATGGAAGTATGGAAAATTTAAATAAAATATTGTATATATTTATTTTAAAGGTTACTATATAAGAATATGCTTTTAGGTGGTGACATTTTTGAATGATTTATACACAATATTTGATGATATAATTAGTCATTACAACGTTTACAAAGTCGAAACAATAGGAGATGCTTATATGGTTGTAAGTGGATTACCTCTTCGAAATGATGATCTTCACGCTTCTGAGATAGCTTCTATGGCCCTTGAACTTCTAGAAACAGTGAAAACTTTTAAAATAAGGCATAGACCAAATCATCTTTTAAAATTAAGAATTGGCATACATACAGGTAAATGGCATCATTGAGTAGATTTAGTCGATCAAAGTTATCACGATAACCAATGCAGTTATATTGTAATAAATCTAACTATTAGTTTTGTATTTTTCATTCTTAAAATTTAAATATATATATATATATATATATTATAGGTCCAGTTGTAGCTGGAGTTGTTGGATTAACTATGCCCAGGTATTGTCTTTTTGGTGATACAGTTAATACAGCTTCTAGAATGGAATCTAATGGAGAAGGTAAAACTGTTATTTTTAATATCAAATGTAAATAGGCTTTAGTAATTTAGATGCTAGATTAATTTCTTACGAAATTTCAGCATTGAAAATACACATTAGCTTACAGTGCAGAGATTACTTACAGAAACTCGGTGGGTATATAATAGAGGAAAGAGGAATAATTAAGATGAAGGTAAATTTATTTGTATGAAAATTACATTCACTTCGTTAACACGAAACTGAAAATAACGTGAATTTTAANACTTGTACTGTACACCACAAGAACACAGTAAATTAGCCTTCACTTCTACTGGTCAGTGTGTAGCTATTGAATTGTAAGTTAATGGTGCTGTTTAAGGGTTTTCTTCTATGTTCTTTCCATAATTAGTTTAAGTGTATGAAATTTTGAATAATTGAAATGTGGGATAAGCAGGGGGCCACTGGGTCAATCCCTAATGACCACCTAAACTGCACAGGCTGGTAAAGCCCGACCTCTGTGTCATCGGATGGCGTTAGAAGGGCAAAATCGAGTGGGGAGGTCATTGGTACATCGATAGGTGTTCTTTTGGGTGAATAAGACAGGTGCACAAATTTAGCAATTAACAAAAGAAAGTTTATTATACAACTAAACCTAAGGTTAGATGCAGTTAAATGAGGTTACATATACACTCCTACGGAGTGGATTGACAAAAGTTTCCAATCAGCTCACATGCTGACCTAATGACGTAGTTCTGTCACTACTTCCGCTGAGAGAGAGTTTACAAGAATCTATAGATATCTCAATATTCCTTGGTCAAATCAGATGACATTCGTTCAATCAGAGAGAGAGAGAGGATTTCGAAGAGGATTGGCGATTGTATGGCAGGTCTTCTGGACATTGACTTGCATGGGCCAGGACAGTCTGTTTGTGGAGGTCCGCTGAACTTGGCACCTAGTCGTTGATTACTCCGGCACTAATTAATCTATTCGCCTTCCTTCGGACTTCATATGGGACGACCACATGGAACTTCAGTGTCTCCACGTTTATGCTTAGTGCCTGGGAAAATGATCGTGTGTTTGACTATTGACAAGTCGAAGGTTCATTCCCAGGTTCAAGCATAGGTTTCTTCCGATGACATTTAATAGCAGCTGTCCCTCTTTCACAATCGAATGTGTTCCTTTTGTCATCTTGTTGTCAAAATTCCTCTCCATTTGTTTAGATAGAACGTCATCTGATCCATTCTAGAGTGATGTTTTTTTTTTTATAACAATTGCGTTAAGAAATTAAATTACAAAGTCGTAATTTTGTGCTAAATTTGCTCATTCCTCCGCTCAGGCCCATAGATAGGCCTGTGGGCTCACAGAAAGTTGTAATTTTTGTTCTGTAGTAAAAAAAAGTCTGGTACTGGAATTTTAGTTTAATTAAGTATGATAATTTTTAAAAATTAACTTTGGTGCAACGTTTGTTTTCTTAAGTTGAATCTTGCAGGTAGGTTCTAACTCTTTTCATGAATGTTTGATTTTTTCTTTAATTTATTAAATCACATCTGTCAGGAACACAAGTTATTCTCTAACATTTTGATGCCAATAAATTCAGAATAAATTTAAGATACTATGTTATTCCTTGCAAGTTGGAACACCATGTACAGTACAAGGAAGACTTGTATGGTGTTTTTAGAACAGTTTTATTTTACACACTACTCTACATTGAAGAGGACCACATAGATGGCTGAAACATGTAGACTACAGTAGATGAAATGTGTATATACTGTACATTAATTACAAAACCTTAATAAATTTTATAAAAAAACTTAGTTTCATAGAAATTATGTCAGCAATGTACAGTAAGTTATGCAAAATTTATTATATGTATTAATTAAGGTTTTGCAATTAATGTATGTGCACACATTAATTACAAAACCTTAATAAATACATATAATTTTATACATTTTAATAATAAATACATTTTAGCTACTATAGTTTACATGTTTCAGCCATCTTGTGGCCCTTTTCAATATGAATAATATATGAAATAAAACTGTTTCAAAAACATCTTGCAAGTCTTTCTGATTGATGGGAAACAGTAAATGCCATTGTTGTATTCCTCAAAAGTTTGAGTATTAAAAGTTACCATAATCCATATGGAATGTTAATAAATGTAAAACAATTTTAAGTTTCAATTCTTTTCTTGTTGTATTTCATTTTTCAGTTTAATTTTTGCAATATTTTATTGATATAATTAAAACTATATAGAGATTTATTTGTGTAAAATGTCAAAAAATTTCATATATGCTATAAAAATATAAATATTTTAATATTTTATCATTTAGTCATTCACTGAATAACAGACAAATCAAATATGTATTTTTACAGGTTAACATTAAAATCTCAATTTTGAATTTGCATAATCAAAGAGAAAATTACCTTTCATTATTTAGTTTGTAGATTTATTATAAATATTTTAACTCATACAATAAGCAATTTTACGTGACGTTTGGCAATGTAATACATTATCAAGCTGTAGAGAAGGTAGAAGGTCTGCATAAAACACGTATTATTTAATAAAATTTATGATAAATCCCAGAACAAGTTTATGTATTACTTTCTTCGTTTAATATACTTTATTTTAGACCATAAGAGACAGCTTGATTTCGTTTATTTACGGATAATTGAGGCACTGATTTAACGTTAGACATGAAGTATTTCATATGCTCTTAATATTAAAATCGTTTTACTTGGAAAAATAATTTTCTTCTCGAAATATTCATAAGCAAATATTCTAATGGACTAGTTTTATTTTAAAATTTTATAATGATTTTAATCAAAATACACGAAATTTTAAACGTTAAACACTGACTTTAAAAACAGAAATGATGCAATAAAAACAAATAAATTTTCTAGTAGAAAATGATTCATTTTATGTAGATAAATCACTAGAAAACTGGTTTATATTCGTTTAAAAAAATATAATAAAAAAAAATAAANTAGATAATAAATATATATAAATATATACCACGATAAGCACTCTTCATTGTTATTTTTATCGTCTTATATAATCAAAATGCATAAGGTTACATAATAATAGCATTACGACAATAATAATTGCTTTAAGATCATTTTAAATCAATTTAAAATTAATATCGTTGCTTCTATATGTAAACAAAACTATGTATGAAAGAATTTAGAACTTTAAATTCATTACAGGAATTGGAAATACGAACAAGAAATCGCTGGTCTTCTATGGCGGATAACATTCGACGATATGCATAGACAAACATCAAATGGTCTTCTCTCATCCAACAGCAGAGTAAAGTAGATCTTATTGACTTTTATACATAATTTGGCTTAATTCAAATTATAATATTTACGTTATTTAATAGTCTAGTTTAAGTCAGATGTCAGTAGAATCGAAAACAGCGGGACAAGTGTTTACTCAAATCGCTCTGTATCGAGGAATGTGGGTGGCAGTTAAACAATTTCATTATCATAGAAGGATTGCTGATTTATCTAGAGATACTAAGAAAGAAATGAAAATCGTGAGTACATTGTTCGTACAAAAGAAAAAAAAAACGTGAATTTTTTAAAGGCGTGTTTTTTTAATTATTAATTTATTATTTGTTTATTTATGTAGTTAAGAGAATTACACCACGATAACATAAATCCTTTCATCGGTGCTTGTATTCAAGGTAACTGCATCTACATTGTGACAGAATACTGCATGAAGGGTAGTTTGCAGGTAACGCCAAAGTAGATAATGATGTCCTTTTCTAATTACGTAAGCTAGTTACAAGTTTATTCTACTTTTCAAAGAAGACAAGTCGAAATGGATTGGCACAGTGAATAGAGTGGCAATTTATTCAAGACTAGGTCATCCAATTATGTTGCATGTTATTTATTTATGTTATTTAAAAAAAAAAAAACAATTTTCCCTGAATTTAAAAGAAAACTTTCGCTTTTCTAGATTAAATATTCTTTGGCCAATTTTATTACAAAAGAATAAGATTTGTAATTAGATAAAAAAAAATAGTTAAACGTAAGGTTAGAATTATTTGTTTATTTAAATGGATGAAAATCTTATTTACATATATAAATTTGGAATAAAGCCAAACTCTTGTTACAAATTGTAAATATGCTCAATCTGCATTTATGAGTCATGTCACCCTTATTCGTAAATATTTTTGAATTAATTTAGTGTGAGAATTATTTAAAATGAATAATGCGCATTTATTTATCTAGAATATTGAATAAATGAGAATTTATTATATATATATATATATATATATAGAGGCCTATATATTATCACATTTTTGCATTCTGATAGAAACAATTCGTATAATAAATTTCTATTTAAAGATACCAGCTGCCCAAGGTCAGCAATTATTTGACTGGGCCTACTCATCTCGCAATCTTTCCTGAATTGTTAGGGAAGTTAAAATAAGAAAAATCACCTCAGGATATATTGCACAAAATCTAATATTTTTTCTCTCTCTCTCTCTCTTTCTCTTCTTAAAATAAAATAAAAAAAATAATATACAATTATTTCGAAATTACTTTTATTTTTCTCGTTAATATATTTTCCAATGATTTAATATTAATGAAAATCGAGACCTGATACGGAGATCTTAGCGGCCGGAAGTCCGATGCATGCTCTGCCTACGAAGTTCCGGTCTGGATCGGAAGCCACGTGCTTTTTTTAATTAAAAAATATTATTTAAAAAATGAAGCCCGGCATTGTAATAATGAATATTTTATTGTAAAATTAAAAAATTAAATTAATGCCTACAACACGATTTTGTCATAAATTCAGCGTGCATAAATGCGATTAAGTTTACATGTAAATTAAGTCCCGAATAATAAACAAAATACAATTTTACACGGAAAATTTCACATTAAAAAAAATTTGCGGTTCCATAAATTAGTCTGCAACATTTCGCAATGGTTTAAGCTTTTTTTTAAAAAAAAAAAAAATGTATCACGTTATTTATAATGTCAACAAATATTTTGGCAACTTCGGTTGTAAGCGCCTGTCGTAAAAATATAATACTGTACTTTACAAAATCTGCCTAAAGATCGTTTAAGTAAATAAATTATTTAGACAGATTTTTTTAAAAATATTAATTAAATGATATAATAGGAAAAGAAGATCGTATAATTGGTGTCATGTGACCAATTACGACTTAATTATCTCATTGTCTCGTAATTGTCGTTCGTTAGCTAGATCGATACAAAAATAATTCAATTATTTACTGTTTGAAACAAATTTCAATAAATTAATTCCAATCGAATAATTAGATATATTTTAATTGCTTTTTTCCTATTCAATTTAGTCTTTTAACATTGTACACTTTAAAACCATTAAGTTGAGTAATGGTGGCGTTGACAGCTTTTACAAACGATCGACTCCTCTTAGCGCCACCTGAAGTCTGAAAATGAATTTAATGTTTTATTTTAATAATAATAATAATAAATAAATAAATCAATAATTTAAAATTAAAATTAAGTTAAATAAATTATATAATATTGATAATTGTTTTTAAAATTATTTTTCTTTAAATTAATTTTGTTTTATTCAACAAGTTTAGGGAGTGGTAACGGGTCATGGTAATTTACAAAAGTTGTTCATTAATTATCTACTATATAAAAAAAAATTGAATATTATTATAAAATTACGAAATGACTTGTAAAATAGAAAAATAATCAAAAACAATTGCTTATAATTAAAATACATATAATGTGCCGTAATAATATCTAAACACGGCAAACAGCGCTAAACCCATAAAGCGCCAACGAAGGATCTTCTTCATAAATATTAAACAGAAGATCCTTGATTATTTGTAAATTATTAAATGTACTATTTTGCATTGCAAACGAAATTATTAATAGCAAATCAAGTTACTTTCAAGCAACTTAAAACCTCGAAATTACGTTTACTAAGTTATACTTTGAAGTCTTCGATTTAGCGCCATACCAATTTCGGAAGCGAACAAATAATGGCGTTAAATCGATTTATATTGATATAAACGTATCTAAGGTCGTTTAAATTAAAATACCAATATTTATAGGATATTCTAGAAAATGAAGACTTGAAACTGGATAAAATATTCATAGCATCGTTGGTGTCAGATTTTATTAAGGTGAGAGATTACACATTACATTAAATTTAAATATAAAGCAGTGTATATAATCTTGAAAAACCTGTTTTATTTCTTTAGGGAATGCTTTATCTTCATGATAGTGAGTTACGAGTGCACGGGAATTTAAAATCTTCAAATTGTTTGATAACAAGTAGATGGGTATTGCAAGTTTCGGATTTTGGTTTGCACGAATTACGTTCAAATGCCAATACTACTACAATTACAGATTATGAATATTATAGAAGTATATTTACGCTTTCTTTCGTAAGATTTTTAAGCATTTTTATAATATAAATACATAAATTGAATATTTTTTTTTCTCTCAAGATCTCTTATGGAAAGCTCCTGAACTTCTTCGTCAGACATCTAATTTTCCAAAGATTAGTCAGAAGGGCGATGTGTATTCATTCGCTATTATCTTACACGAAATTATGCAAAGACAAGGACCATTTGGTAATATAATGCTGCCTCCTAAAGGTAATTGCAATTTGTTATCGAGTGTATGATAAAGAGCTTTGTGGCTCACCAAACCATAATTACGGTAGACCCCCCCTATAACACTGTTGATAATTCCGTTTTATATGAATTCCGTGTTGTACGAGTCACTTAGATTTTACAAATACGTGTGCCGGGCTGTGAACGGCACACGTATTTGTAAAATCTAAGTGACTTGTATAACACGGAATTCATATAAAACAGAATAATCAACAGTGTTATAGGGGGATCGATTGTATAGTAATTTAATTTAATGTAAGCTTTTGTATTTTTTTTTTATTTTTAGATATTGTATTAAAAGTTATGAATGGACCTTCAGAGACAGGAGAAATCTTTCGTCCATCATTAGAAGAACTCGATTGCCAAGATTATATTATCAATACGATAAAAGATTGTTGGGCAGAAAAAGCCGAAAATAGACCCGATTTTAGACAAATTCGGGAAAAATTAAAAGCAATGCGTCAAGGAATGTAGGTAACAAAATCTTTTTCGCGATTAAAACGAATTTTTCAAGAAATATTTTCTGATAAATTTCTCAAATATTTTAAAATATAAACAACGTCAGAATGTGTTTAACTCGTCTCATAAACTTTTCTTGAATACTTGAAATACTTTCGAATTAAATTTTTATAGGAAGACCAATATAGTAGACAATATGATGGAAATGATGGAGAAATATGCGAATAATCTAGAAGAATTAGTAGATGAAAGGACAAGCCAGCTACAGGAAGAACAGAAGAAAACAGAAGCTTTGCTATATCGCATGTTACCTAAGTATTAAATAATTTATTGATATTTAAATAAATAATATAAATTCTTTCCAATAATAATAATAATAATATAATTTAAAATTTTACAGATCAGTTGCTGCTCAATTAATAAAAGGGGAAGTAGTTCGTCCCGAATCTTTTGATGCTGTAACTATATATTTTAGTGATATTGTTGGCTTTACTGAGATGTCAGCTGATAGTACGCCTATGGAAGTATGGAAAATTTAAATAAAATATTGTATATATTTATTTTAAAGGTTACTATATAAGAATATGCTTTTAGGTGGTGACATTTTTGAATGATTTATACACAATATTTGATGATATAATTAGTCATTACAACGTTTACAAAGTCGAAACAATAGGAGATGCTTATATGGTTGTAAGTGGATTACCTCTTCGAAATGATGATCTTCACGCTTCTGAGATAGCTTCTATGGCCCTTGAACTTCTAGAAACAGTGAAAACTTTTAAAATAAGGCATAGACCAAATCATCTTTTAAAATTAAGAATTGGCATACATACAGGTAAATGGCATCATTGAGTAGATTTAGTCGATCAAAGTTATCACGATAACCAATGCAGTTATATTGTAATAAATCTAACTATTAGTTTTGTATTTTTCATTCTTAAAATTTAAATATATATATATATATATATATTATAGGTCCAGTTGTAGCTGGAGTTGTTGGATTAACTATGCCCAGGTATTGTCTTTTTGGTGATACAGTTAATACAGCTTCTAGAATGGAATCTAATGGAGAAGGTAAAACTGTTATTTTTAATATCAAATGTAAATAGGCTTTAGTAATTTAGATGCTAGATTAATTTCTTACGAAATTTCAGCATTGAAAATACACATTAGCTTACAGTGCAGAGATTACTTACAGAAACTCGGTGGGTATATAATAGAGGAAAGAGGAATAATTAAGATGAAGGTAAATTTATTTGTATGAAAATTACATTCACTTCGTTAACACGAAACTGAAAATAACGTGAATTTTAAAATTTTATAGGGAAAAGGTGAAGTGAAAACTTTTTGGCTATTAGGCCAGTGCAATCCAAGAGCGCACAGAACATTACCTCATGATCAAATATTACCTCAACCACTTTTCAGTGCTGTTAGAGACTCGGAAATAAGGAGGAGAAGTCCAAAATTAGATCATCCTCGTAGAGGATCGTTAGCGGTGCGTAACGACGCGTGTCATTTAGAAGATGTAGTTGCAGCAATGTCTCACGGATCAATTCCATCTTATTTGAGGAATTGTGGTCAAGATAGTCCCTATAATGGTAGGACATTAAATACACAAAATTGTCACGACAATAAAGTTCAAAACGTAGAAGAAAGAACGGAAGAAGCGATGACAGAGATAATACCAATCACCTCAAACGGCACAACTCCACATTTAGAAGATGGTGCCACCATAATACCTTTATTATCTGCAGAAGAAACGATAAACGAAAAGAAACATTCAAAGATGCACAATAAATATTGGAGATCGTTAGACGAACTGCACAAAAGTAAACCTAATATTGTCACATGGTTTGCTGGACTATTTAGCCAGAAAGGACCATATATAGAAACTCACAGATTGAATCATCAAACAGAAAGTGCCATTTAATACAGGATATATTATTTTGTATTTCTTCTTATTGAACCTTTTAACATTATGAGGACAAAATAATTTCCATTGTTAACTGTTATTTTCACGTAAGTGACTGTAATTCATTTTCATGTATCAACAACATTCATCTTACACAATTTACACAAATGAACGTTTTACATATCTTTTTAATCAAGCTGCAAATAATCCTTGAAATGCAAGCTTGCAATGTATTCTACAATGCAAGTTACAATGTATGCTGCAATTTAAATTTGCAAATAATCTCAAGCCTAACATTATGTATTTTATTTATGCAAATCAGATTTTTTTTTGCAGTTTTAAAACAGTAATTTTTTTCGATATTAAATTGATTTATTCACATTATACATTTATATATATATCATAATCCAAATAACAATGAGTGAGACACATGAAAA